TTTAAAAATATTTATTTATATAAATTTAAAATATAATTTATATATTTAAATATATATATATATTTATATAATTTATTATAAATTTTAATTATATATAATAAATATTTGACTTATGTACAAATTAAAATATTAATATATAATAAAGAAAAACAATGTACTCCATCCAGAACGGCCCATTCTCAACTACGATTTACATGTCAATTTAGTAGTTTGGAACGGCCCGTTCTTGATTGGGAACGGCCCGTTCTGGGCTACTAAATCACTCATATTAACCTTTTGGGCCTTCTGAAATAACTTACTACATTACAAAACTATTGATTTTAGTCATTGTTATTAATAATCATTTTTCTTTATCTACCTTAAAGTCATCATTAAGAACTAGGAATCCAAAATAGTAACTTTAGATTTTGTAGTGATAAATCAAAGAAAAATAATTTACAAAAAACAAAACTAAAATTTACTTATTTTATAAGGACAAAATACATGTTACAAGAATAAAAAGATAATGTTTACAAATTTTAGAAAAATGAAATATAAAGAAATTTTTTTATAGACTCAAAATTAAAACTCATTCTTTAATAAGAACTAAAAACATATTTAAAGTATTTTCAAAATGCACTCAATAACTTACTAACTTACTCCTTCTAAAAGTGAGATGGGCGTAAGTTAGCAAATTCCTCCCTCCCCTTTCCACACACATATTAAGGTAGAAATATTTATTCATGTAGTTAGAAAGTCATGTAATAAGATTCATGTAGGTAGAAATATTTATTCATGTAATAACTTGGGGTCTTCATCCTTTGCCTCTTTGTCATCAAGGAGGGTTACTTCATAGAACCAAAGTGGATGGAAGGGTCTTCCAAACCCTACTAAAGAGGAAGATGAATTTATGTTTGCATGAAACGTCAAGGGTCCTCACTGCTTCACCAGTTACTACCCACAAAGTCATCACAACAAATCTAGTTGATGGAGGGTGGATCTGATGGACTCTATCATTGGTGGCAATAACATTAGAAGAGTTTCAAACATATGGGTGATGCACTATAATAGTGTAAATATGAGGTTAATCTTAACGATAAAAATTATAGAGCACCATATACATCATTTGAGAGAGTGACTCGTCTTAACTATCTTTACACTACTAGAAATATGTCATTTATCCAAGAATTTTCATGCGAAAAAATATTTATAGGAAATTATTACAAAAATTCTTACAAATATAAATTTCTATTATTTAGGTTTAATTGTATTTTTGATCTCTTAAGTATAATAATTGTTTAATTTTGGTCTCCAAGATTTTAATTGAGTAATTTTAGTCCTTAAAAGATTGTAATTGTGTGATTTTAGTCTCTCACA